CCTGTAGTGTTCTTGAGTGATACTTCTAGTACCCCGGTGCTCATCCTTGGGGGATTCAAATCACTTGCCTCTTGTTTTCCTCATATAACCCTGTAAGCCTCAGAACCTACCCTTAATATTTTCTAAACTTTACATTACTAGCCTTTTTCTTCTGGCTAATAATCATATTTTTCCATGATCTTCTCTGTTCTGTGTAGATGGCTCTATCCATGAAGATTTTGAACCAGGTGACACCTTCCCTATCAAGGAATATCATTCCTCTCCACTTTTCTAAAATCATTAGGATTTCTGCTTTTTCATCTCTTCTAGGGTGAGGAATTTGGAATTAAGATGAAATTCAGGATATAATCTTGTTTTGGAATTTCTTGTAGGATCTTTTCCTAAATTTAGAATTTTCTATTTTATCATAAAAAGGAGAGGAGAATCTTTAAAGGTGTAGATGGACATTTTTTGTGATTATTGTCATGAGGATTTAGGCACTTCTTGTTATATCCAGATGTAGTGTTGTTCCAAGAAACAAAACTTTCAGAGGTGGACAGGAAATGGATAAGGATTATTTGGGGCTATAGGGAATTGAGCTGGACTTTTCCCCCTCTTGGGGAGCCTCTAGAGGGATACTTACAATGTGGGAAAATGGAGAATTGGAAAGCCAAGAGGAACTCATTGGGCAATATTCAATCTCGGTAAAGTTCAAAAGGGAAGTGATAGTAGGGCATGAGTCTTAACAAATGTATATGGCCCTAACTGGTATAGAGAAAGAGAACATTTTTGGGAGGATTTAGCTGCAATTAGAGGTTTGTGGGTTGGTCCTTGGCGTGTCGGAGGTGATTTCAATGTCATTAGATACACTAGTGAAACAAACAACCCCAATCAAGGTATAATCACAAGCATGAGGAAATTTAATGCTTTGGTGGAATCTTTGGAACTAAAAGAACTACCCCCGTTGCAAGCTACCTTTGCTTGGTCTAGTTTTCAGGAGAATCCAGTGTGCTCTAAGTTGGATAGGTTCCTTTTTCAATAGATTAGGACCTTTGGGGCAGCCTAGTTCTGAAAGCGCTTCCTAGAGTGACCTTAGACCAACCATCAAGGGGCCCCCACTCCCTTTAGATTTGAAAATATGTGTCTAGAAGATTCAAAATTTATTGAAAACGTTAAAGAACGGTGGTCAGAAAGTGGGATCAATTTGGAGAACAAGGGACTCAACTTCACCAGGAAATTTAAGTTTCTCAAAGGGAGAATAAAAGAGTGGAACAAGCAAGCATTCAGAAGATTAGAGGATTTAAAGGAAAGAATTACAAAAAGGATTGAAGAGATCAATCTTAAGGAGACTCGGACAGATTGCTTGGCGGAGGATGGCAACACAAAATTCTTCCACTCACTAGCAAATGGAAGAAGAAGAAAGAATTTAATCTCCGGTATTGAGGTTGCAAGACAGACTTTTAGCAGAGAATAGGAAGCTGTTAAGATATTTGTAGACCATTTTAAAGCAATCTTTGCCACCTTAGGAAGGAGAAATGGGGAAAGTTTGGATCTAGATTGGGACAGGATACCTACAACTCACTCAAGTCTCTTAGAAAGGAATTTTAGTCTGGAAGAGATCCATAAAGCGATGTTTTCAATGGAAAGATCAAAAGCTCCAGGCCCAGATGGATTCTCATTGGCTTTTTACCAAGATTGTTGGGAAGTCATAAAAGATGCTTTGTTGGATGTCTTTGAGGAATTTTTTGAAAAAGGAGAAATCTCACTTGGATCAAATGCAATGTTCATTGCTTTGATTCCTAAAAGAAAAGAAGTAAAAGTTTCAAAGGATTTTAGGACCATTGGTCTCATAGGAAGCTTATATAAAATCATTGCCAAAGTCCTAGCTAGAAGGTTGAAATCTTGCATATCGTTAGTGATTTCCCAATATCAAGGAGCCTTTTTGGATGGGAGGCAAAATAGTGAATCAAATTTTGGTGGCAAATGAGTGTTTGGAGGAAAAGAGGAAGAAAGCAAGAAAGGGCTTGATTTGTAAATTAGACCTAGAAAAATCTTATGACATGGTGGACTGGAGTTTCCTTCTTGGATTGTTAGAGAAGATTGGTTTGGGGGAAAGATGGAGGAATTGGATTGAATTAGAAGTTGCATTAGCTCAGTACATTTCTCAATCTTAATAAATGGAGTTGCTAGGGATTTTTTCCCAACTAAAAGAGGTTTGAGACAGGGATACCCCTTATCCCTCTTTTTGTTCACCCTAATTGCCGAAATCCTAAGCCAAATGATCACCAAGGCTGATTTGGACAACCTGATCAGGGGATGGAGGGTAGGAAGAAATGAGGTGGTGGTGTCCCATTTACAGTTTGCAGATGCCATAATAATTTTTTGTGAAGACTGTAATGAGGAAAGAATAAGGAAACTAAGAGATTTGGTCAAAGATTTTCAAAAGATCTCAAGTCTAAAAGTCAATTTGGAAGAGGGTAGCATTCAGCTATGGGCACAAATCCTAGGTTGTGAGGTGAAAGAGTGGCCCCTAAATTACCTTGGCCTACCGTTGGGAAGAAACCCAAGAGCAGAGAGTTTCTGGAAACCAGTCGTAGAAAGATTTGGTAAAAAACTGGCTATGTGGAAAAGGATCTATATTTCTTTAGAGGGAATAATAACTTAATTAAATCCAGTCTAGCACGTATTTATTACCTATCCACCTTTAGGATCCCAGTCAAAATAGCTAAGCAGTTAGAGAAGATTATGAGAGACTTCCTTTGGGAGTCGGGGGAGGAAAGAAAGGATCACTTGATAAAATGGGAGCAAGTATGTGAATCAAAGGAATAAGGTGGATTAGGCATTAGAAATCTGACTAAGAGGAATATGGCCCTACTAGGGAAGTGGCTTTGGAGATTCCCCCTAGAAGGAGATAGGCTGTGGCACAAAGTCATTGAAAGCATACAAGGTTTAGGGGAGAATGTCTGGGATGCAAAGTTGGACTCTCACACTTCTTCAAAATCAGCGTGGAAAGCAATATTAGAGGTACTCCCTTTATTCTTAAACTTCATTCATTTTGATGTGGCATGTGGGAATAAAGTCCTCTTTTGGGTGGATCTTTGGGTAGGTGACATGCCCCTTTGCCAACAATTTCCTATCCTCTCCCTAACAACTTACAAGTTGAGCCTATTGTCACTCATTTCTTTATTGTCTTCTTTGGAGTCTGTTTACTTGGACCGAAACACACCTGATGCTAGAGTTTGGAGCCCCTCCCCTGATGGCCTGTTCTCTTGTGCTTCCTTCTTTAATCTTCTAGTTTGCCCCAATTCTGGGGGTTATCTTTTCCAGTGAAGCACATGTGACATGCTACAGAAAAGGAGGCCAAACTCTTGCCTCTCTCCTCATATGTGTTTTCTTTGCAAGGTTAGTTCTGAATCCTTGCCTCGCTTATTAATCTTTTATCCTCTTGTGGTTTGTCTTTGGGAATATTTCTGTTCTCTCTTTGGTTGCAGATGGACCCCCCCTCCCTCCAGCAAGAAGTGGTAAAACATTTTCAACCCCAACTTCCTGAGACCCAAGGAAAAGAGAGGGAAAATAATTGGAGGGCTTAAGAGCTGCCTTGGTTTGGACAGTCTGAGAGGAAAGAAACAGCAGATTCAATGAGAAAAGCAGGTCCAAGGAGGAGATTGTGGAAGCTATTTCAGTGAGAACTGCTCACTAGGTAAAAACATTGGAAATGTTCAAAGTCTATTCAGTTAAGGATATTATTAGAACTTGGTCTGAAGTGGCATAATCGGATAGACACACTGATGAGGTAAGAATGGACTGGAAGCCCCCATCTGTAAATAAACTGAAGCTAAACTTTGATGGTAGCTCTATGGGCAACCCAGGAAGAGCAGGTATTGGGGGAGTTATCAGATACCATCAAGGTTCAATGGCGGTTTTGTATTCAGGACCAATCGGCATGGGAGATTCAATATAAGCAGAAACTTTGGCATTGTTACAAGGCTTGAGATTAGCACAGCAGCTTGGCCTTAGAGATTTGGAAGTGGAAGGTGACTTATTAGTCATCCATTGGGCAAAGCAGCTCAAGGCAGTACCTTGGAAATACAAACACGCTTTCAGGGTAATTGATGTTATTGCAAAGCAATTGAATTCACATTTCAGCTGGGTGAGAAGGTTTGCAAATGGGGTAGCAGACGTATTAGCCAAACAGAGAGTTGATAGTTAAAATCTTTTTTGGGCAAACTTGTAAAATGTTACCAAAGGGTTCTTGTATCTTCAACAGTTGTATTATCTTTAATTTTCATCTTTAATGAAATCATTTGCTGATCAAAAAAGGACTTGGACACTTATTTTATTTCGCATTTGAAAGATATCTAGAATCATGAAATTGCAGAAGAAAACAAAAAGCTAAGACCATCAGTTGGAAAGAAGTTAAAACTTGTAGATAAGGAGCTTTGCTAAAACTTATTTGAACATAAAATGGTTTGTAGATCACAGTTGATACTAGATGCAAATGGAAGAATATGTCATAGATACCACATTGTGGCAGTCTATGGAGTAGAGAAAGCTAAAGAAATAGGGATTACTAAGCTGATTATTGAAGGTGATTCAAAAGTAGTTGTGGGCTGGCTGAAAAAAGGGGAAGGAATCATATGGAAGTTAAGGAATGAATTCAGGAGTTTCAAGCAGATTTCTAAAGACATGATGATCCAAATAAGGTGGATAAGGAGATCTGCAAACAGTTTGGCTGATGGTCTTGCAAAGCAAGGAACTCAAAGACAATCTATGTTCTGGGCAATTCTGTAAATAGTGAATAGTTTCTGTTTGGGCTTTGTTTTGTGCCCACAACTCTTTGTTGTATCTCTACTTTTTATTCTAATGAATCAAATTTCTGTTGCTGATCAAAAAAAAAAAAAAAGATACCACATTGTGTATCTAGCTACCTGCATTTATCTCAATGTCTGATCCCTGTGGTTTTTATTATATATCCTATAACCATCAACATTTTCTTCGAAAAACCTTTTTACTCTATGTAGAGTGGTAAAGATGTCCTCTTAAAGTCTGTTGGTGTTGTTGATGCGGATGCGGATACAGTCTTTGAAGTGGTTTTGAGCCTTGACCGACATAAGAGATATGAGTAAGTTAAATAAATTTCTTGATTTTCTTTTCTCTTTTTTGAAGTGAAGAGGCTACTTAAGTCCCTCTAAGAATGATATTTGCAGGTGGGATATTTTGACAGGTGACTTAGAGCTTGTAGATTCTGTAAATGGGCACTATGATGTTGTGTATGGGATATATGACCCAAATTACCTAAATCAGTAAGTTTTTACTTATGGATATTCTTTTCTTTTAAAATAAGATGTAGTAGTTAAGTGACCAGCGAGTATAATTATATTCTATTCAGGAAGGTTGTCGAGAACCTTTTTCATTTCCATTGGTCTTCACGTATTACTTAAATATCACACTATTTCAGGTGGAAATCCAAAAAGGATTTTGTTTTCAGCAGGCAATGGTTTCGTGGACAGGATGGGGCATATAGTAAGAATTCTCATTAAGATCATGTTTTTCTTCATCTTTCAGTTTATTGAGAATGAATTTTTTATTTGATAAAAATAAAAAATATACAAGGTGCATGGAAGAGGGGAAGATACAGAGGAGAAAAAAGAAGCCAACTCCAAATAGTAAACTCCCAACAAGGAGGCCTTAGAGCATAGAAAATACAATACAGATCCACGGGCAAACACCACCCAAATCCCAGAAACCACCCAAAAGGAACCTACCAACTTCACCTGCTGCATCTGAACAAAAGCCAGAGCGAGCACCAAACACCCGGTACCAAACATTAGAGCGGACAACATAGCTCCTCACCTTCAAATGTTAACCGACTATTTGCACCCTCCAGAAACAAATAACAACTCCAACCAGAACTCAAAGAACATCCCTCCCACTTTGCTCCATATCCTTTTCTTTAGTAGGGCCCTCTTATTTTCTTCTACTAAACCTTGCATTGTTGCTACTTCATTGCTTCCCTGTCCACCTATGGCCACCCAATACTTTCCACATTAGTGGAAGCAATTAAGCTATTTAAACCTTGGTTGTCCTCCTTTTACTCAGCCAAAAATAATTTGTTTCATCAAATCTTTTGAAGTATAACTCATGATTCATACTTGGATCCCAGAACCTCAGTTCCAATTTGGTACTCAAATCATGGATTTCTAAGTCGATTAATCAAGTACTTTGCAATAAGCCACTCTCTCTTTGGCTTCTTCAAATCTTTTGCCTAAGGGACCACCTAGGATGAGAATGATATACAGACTTCACATTACTAGTTTTTACACATGCATCTCACATGTAAACTATGCTATTTGATTTCGTTTAGTTGGATCCAATAACCAAATAAACAAATCAGAACCTAAATGTGCTGACATTAGAAAGGGCACGATTGCCTGGGAAGCAACGCTAGAGTGTAATAGTAGCTGTGATAATGTAAATTCCTTATACTTGGTTTCTGTCTTTTTCTATTTAAAGGTTTCTGTTTATTCTAGTATTTAGAATTTTGTATACTAGCATCTTGACAATTAGTTCAATTGTGTATAACTTCCTAGATGAATGTACTGTACTTCATACCTCATATTATTAAACTAACTGTCCCAATTAATAAATTACAAATGACACATTTAAGTTGAAACTGAATAAGGTGATCAGATTATTTCACATTCAGTTGAACTGTGTATAGCTTCCTAGATGAATGTACCGTACTGCATACCTGTTTACTTAATTGACAGCTTGTGTGCATTTGTTACTGCAGCTATCTTACAATCTCCAGCCATTCATAAGAAGAGGCCTCCAAGACCTGGTTATCAACGGATCAAAATTATCCGTAAGAATTATCTTTATTAGTTAGAAAGTTGAGGTGAAGCTTGGATGATGATGTGTTGGGAAGTTGAGATCTTAATCTTTTCTGGAAGTGTTTGTATTCTTTTCTGTTTCTCATGTTTTGGTGGCATGCAGGTTTCCTATGAATAGATATTTTCAAATTTGTAGTATTTGACGATACTAACTACTAAGTTTTAGGTAATAATATATATATATATATATATATATATAGTATGTCCTGGGGTATCATACAATGCTGGTTATATTTTGTGATGAGATTATTATGTATGTCTTTTATCGTGTGGTCATGGTGTACTTAATTTTGCTTGGTTCATATATAAAGCTTTTGGAACTTTTTTTTCTGGTCGGGATGATTAGGGGTTCTTCACGAAAGGAATCTCATATAATTAGGTACCAACTTGCAAAAGCATATGAACAATAAGACTTTGATGCTGAATATATCCTCTCAAGATAGATTTTAACTGAAAAAAGACAACTGAAAATAAGGGCTTGCAATGTCTAAGAGAAAATCTTCTAATGCTGTCTCCCCCAGGCATCAAGGAATCTGGATTGGCTTTGTTTCAGTCATAGGGTTGGCTAGCAGAGTAATGGCATCCAGTGACAGGGTAGCTGAGTGGCATTTCTTGATAGGTTTTTGGTTGGAAGATTTGTAGAGTCTTACCCAGAGATTGAAGATGTTGAGGAGTGGGTGTGTTCATTGGTTTGGTATATCACTGCAAACCTGACGTGAGGAGATTCAGGGAGGGAGATTTCCTTCATAGTTCATACTTTAGAAACTGAGGTTCTAGATATCTTAAATCATGGCTGGAAGTTGTCCAACAGGCTGTTGCTTGAGCTCGGGATGTGGAGCCTTTTTCTTGGTTCAATTGAAGCCCCCATTGGCTATGTGAGATGGTGAGAGGGGATCTTCATAGTCCTGCATCACATATGGAATATATGTACTTCTGCTGTGATTGGTAATGCCCTTTCGGGAGGGAGATTGTAAAAGTTGATGCAAATAATCTTATCTGGTTTAAGATTGACTCATTTTTTTATCCTTAGTTAGGGTAATAACCTTCACTTTATTCCCTGAGTGATGAATTTGGGGCCAATGGTCAAATCTATACATTATGAATGGTGGTGTTGTAGAGTGAGGGTGGAAGTGGGCTGAGTTTTATAGATTCCCAGGTTGCTGGGGTACCCCTTAGAAGATATGGAATGATTTGGCTGGAGAGTTGCCTAACAGGCATAGGAGGTCCATTGATCCAGTAGATGGCAGAGATGTGGATTTTGATGTGACTCTTAAGGTGGGAGCCCAGAAAATTCCATGGCTAGGTGTACCAAATCTTTTAGCTAGCTCAGGGGTGCATGGTGGATGTAGGTGGTGCTTCTCTGTCTGGCGGATCATGAGTCTCACTCCAAAATTGTCCATTTAAGGTTCTGACAGTGGTGTGGGAGAGCCGGAGAGGTTTTGTGCCTTATGAGAAACTACTGCCTAAGTGGGCCCACATGATATCTCTCATAAGAAGGTATTTTGAAAGATCACTCCGGAGTATTTAGGAGGAAATAATCTAAGATCGTATATATTTGTGTTAAATGATTCTAGAAGTCTAAAGGGCACGATTCCCTTTATCAGTGACCACACTCGCTATAATCAATTTTGAGGAGGGAATGGTGGAGGTTAAGAAGAGATTACTTGTCTTTGGTTTGTATGAAGTTTGTCTTGCTGATTAATCTCTTATAATTGAGGTGGTGGCTTCAGGCATGGAATATGTTCCCAATGAGGTCTACCGCTATGGGTTTCAAAGCCATGAAAGTTGCTGCTCTGACGTGCTTCAAGGCACTCATAGTGGGCCAATGGTAGAGGGGATAGGAGGATGCTGGCTGTGGGTCAAATTTAATAGCTTGTAATGCACTCAATCACTCATCATCTTTTTTATTAATAAAATCAGATATTTCTTAAAAAACTGCATGGTCACCTTGCATTTCTCTTAATTGATTTTAAATAATGCTTTGCTAAATTTTCATATAACTAGTAGTAACTATTAAAGTCATTTTTGGTCTCAAATACTTGCCTTTTAAATCTATTCTCATGTTGTACCTTTTTGTAGATGGTAAAAGAATTTATTGAAAAGATAAGGAAAATGAAAACTACATGTGTATATTCCTTGGGATTCTTCAGTTTTTTTTTTTTTTTTTTTTTTTTTTCATTTTGAGATCCATAGGGATCATTTTCCTTTCTTGCAAAGCTAGATGTGTGATAATAGTTCAGTTGAACCAGTTTCAGAAATAGAGAAGAGAGAAAGAGAGGAGAGAAGGAAGAAGTGTCGAACTAAGAAGTCAGAGAGACCCTCCCAGCCGACCATATATAGAGATGGCAATTTCCCCCGTAAAACCGGGGCCCCGCCCCACCTCGCTCCAAATGGGGTGTGTTTTCCCCGACCCTTAAACAAGGACAGGGCAGGGACGGGGATGGGTTTTGTATATAATTTCCCGAACCCGAAGGTAAATTAGTAAAATATCTCTAGGTTTAATATTGATATTTAAAATATCTCTAAGTTTTCCCTAAATTTTTAAAATCCTAAGATCCCATAATTTTATTTTTGAATTACCCCTAAAGTATTATAATTCAATTCTAAAATACCCCCAAATTCCTATGTCCTATGTATAAATTGTACATAAAATAGATAATTTTTAAGTAATTGCCTTGAAACGGGGAAAATTCGGGGATTCCCCATCCCCGATGGGGAATGGATGCCCCGCCCCGCCACTAGGGATGGGGTTGGTACGGAGCAAGGTATCGTGACTTCGAGGCGGGGATGGGGAGGGGGTGCCCCGCCCCAAACCCGCCCCATTGCCATTCCTAACCATATATATGCCAAAACAAGGTACAATGTCAAATATGCTCATACTTAAGTATGGGACATGTGACTTAACACAGTATCAAACATACAACACATCTTAACTTATGATGAAAAGACTGAAATACCTTTTCTTAGCTGACTCTATCACTCCCCCTCAAGCTGGAGAATATATGTCATATAGTCTCAGCTTGTTACATATATAGTTCACTCTTCCCAAACTCAACCCTTTTGTGAACAAGTTTGCCCACTAATCACCTGTTCTTACATGCTCTATACTTATGACACCATTAAGGACTTTTTCCCTTACAAAATGGCAATCTACCTCTATGTGTTTAGTCCTCATGAAAAACTGGATTGGATGAGATGTGAATTGCCAGCTTGGTTGTCACAGTATAGTTTCATGGGTTTGCTTATTGAGAACTCGACTTCCTGCAAAAGATTTTTCAACCACACTAGTTCACATGTAGTGTGTGCCATGGCCCTTTGTTATGCTTCTGCACTACTCCTTGCTACAACAATTTGTTTCTTGCTCTTCCATATCACCAGATTTCCTCCAAGAAAGGTGCAATAACTTGTAGTGGATCTTCTGTCAGATACTGAGCTTGCCCAATTTGCATCTATATAGCCATTTGAGACTACCTCCTGGCTTGTACAGTAACCCACGGCCTGGAGCCCCCTTCAAATACTACACAATTTTAAGGATTGCATCCCAGTGAGGAACTCGAGGACTTTGCATGAATTGGCTTACCAGACTGATAGCAAATGAGATATCTGGTCTAGTAATTGTTAAGTAATTAAGTTTTCCCACTAGCCTTCTATACCTTCTGGGATCATCAAATAATTCACTTGTATCACTGCCCAACTTCACATTTTGTTCCATGGGAGTTTCGACTGGCTTAGTACCTGATAGCCCTGTTTCTTCCAATAGGTCAAGGACATATTTCCTCTTACATAGGTTTATGCCTTGCTTCGATCTAGCAACTTCTATACCCAAGAAATACTTCTTCCCAAGATCTTTTGTCTGGAAGTGATCTTATAGAAAGACCTTCAGTCTATCAATCCCAAGTCTATCATTGCCAGTGATGACTATGTCGTCCACGTAAACCAATAGCAAGATCTTCCCGACTTTAGAATCATAGCTAAACACTGAGTGGTCAACTTGACATTGTCTCATTCCGAACTCTTTCACTACTTCACTAAATCTGCCAAACCAAGCACGGGGAGACTATTTTGAGCCCATAGATTGCCTTCTTGAGCTTACACACCTTACCATCCTCCTCTTGAGCAACAAACCCTAGTGATTGCTCCATGTACACTCTTCCTCTAGAAGATCACCATGGAGGAAGACATTTTTAATGTCGAGCTGAAATAGAGGCCAACCATTCATGATTGCTAAGGAAATCAACACACGTACTGAGCCAATCTTAGCAACAGGAGAAAATGTTTCCACATAATCTATACCATATAGTTGAGAATACCCTTTGGCAACTAAACGGGCTTTCAGCCGTTCCACTCTCCCATCTGGTAGATATTTAATAGTATACACCCATTTACAACCAACAACATGCTTACCTGGGGGAAGATTGGTGAGTTCCCACGTATGATTGTGATTAAGGGCAGAGAGTTCCTCTTCCATAGCTTTACGCCACCTTGGTGAGGTAAGAGCCTCCTGGACATCCTTAGGTGTAGACACAGAAGATAACAGAGAAACAAATTGGCGATGTGAAGCGGAAAGGTGAGAGACAAAAACATAATTGGATATGGGATGCAGAATGCAACTACATTTACCTTTCTGCAATGCAATAGGAAGGTCAAGGTTAGAAGGCAACTCGGGTGTAGAAGAAACTAGATCTGCAGACGAAGTAGAAGTTGGAGGAGGGGCTGGTCTTTGTCGGTGAGTATACACTTGATGGATGGTGGTCTTTCAGTATGATCCTGCATTGGAGGTGGAGACTCAGTCACAGCGGGAACAACAGGAATGGAATTATCAACTGGAAGAAGTACGAGACAGACTCAAAGAATGTAACATCAGGATAGGCACATGACTTCCGATTAATGGGGTTGTAGCATTTATACCCTTTATGAGTCCTAGAGTAGCCAAGAAAGATACACTTAATGGAGCGTGCATCCAACTTGTCTAAACCAGGACCTAGATTATGAACAAAGCACACACACCCGAAGATCCTGGGAGTCAAGGGATATGGAGACAAAGTGGGAAACAAAATGGAGACCGGAGAATGACCGTCAAGAATGAACGAGGGCATGCAATTAATGAGAAAACAAATGGTAAGCACTGCATCACTCCAAAAACGTTTAGGAACATTCATATGATGAAGAAGAGACCGAGTTGTTTCAAGTAGATGTCGGTTCTTCCTCTCAGCCACCCCATTTTGTTGAGGAGTGTATGCATGGGATGTCTGATGAATAATGCCATATTATTCCAAATACTGCTGAAATGAAGTAAGGAAATACTCTACCATTATCTGAACAGTGAATTTTAATTGGAACACCAAATTGTGTACATATCTCACCATGAAACTTTTGGAAAATGGAAAATAATTCACTCCTTTCTTTCATTAAATAAATCCATGTCATTCTTGAACAGTCATCAACAAAAATAACAAAATACCTATAACCATTATAGGACTCAAATCTAATTGGACCTAGGGATGCTCATGGTTCGGTTAACCGAACCGTGGGGTGCATTTCTGGACCGAACCAATATGTTTAGCTTTTGCAGTTAACCAAACTGAAACCGAACCGATGCAACCGGTTAACTGTGGTTCGGTTTTTCGGTTTTTTTATGCCCTCAAAATTAAAAAAAAAAGGGGGAAAAACAGCATAACTTGTGAACAATTTTATTCTTTTTAAACAAAAAGCCTAAAATATGTTAAAAGTTCCTAAATTTATGGTCTACATCTTTGAAAAATCCAAAAAAAATCATGAATTTTAGTATCCCCAGCCAATCTAATGCAACCCTCCTTTATCTAGATTCTGAACCAGCCAGTGTAAAACAAACTCACACTAACTAGTTGAGAACAACTCAATTACATAGATCAAAGTTTACCTCTATTTCTGAAATCTTACTGTTGAGAGAGAGAGAGAGACAGAGATGGATATAGATAATTGCCTTGTTACTTTGAAAGAGATGTAGAACTTATTTGATTCTTCTTGTTGCTGGGCAAGAATTTGATTATCATATTCTCTATCAGCAATGAGGAAATAAATCACAGGTCTTACTCCTTTTATCCTTCCAGTTTTAACAATTAGTTAAATGCTTTTTATTGGTCTGAAAGAAGAAATCATTTAATTGTTTGTGGTGTATACCCTTCTTTTTCTTTCCTTTTATTGCTTCTTTGTTTTTGAGTTTGAAGCATACACATAAATTATGCTGATAAAAAAAGCATATACGTAAATCAAGTGCAAAAACATTTAACTGTTTGTGCTGTATACCCTTCTTTTCTAGTTTTGCCACTAATCCATCTTAACATCTGAACCTCCACTTTACTCATCTGAACCTCTTTTCGTGGACTATATAATATCATTGGCTAAGTTCAAAAATCATTTCTCATTACCTTAACTAGTGTTCTTTTTGGCCTGCCTGGCTGCCCCTATCTTACTAGTTAGGTAGACTATCTTCTTTCCACGAAAACCATCTTAGTCTACTTCCACCTATTTGGCTTTTGTAAATCTCTATAAATACTTTCATTTGACTTATCTTTTCTAGTTTTGCCACTAATCCATCCTAACAAAATATATTCTCAAGTTATCACAAAAAATAAAAAATAAAAAATCTAGATGAAGATTATTACCAATGAAGAAGGTTACAGCATGAGATTCTTTACGCTGGTGTGGCTTAAGATATTTCATGGCCTTTCTTCGGTCATCTTCAGCAAAGTGCTTAATAAAAGGCTCCTCAACTTCATCAGCTAACTTGACCTCCTGCACCATAGTGAGCTTTATTAGCAAGTTTAAATGGTTATTTACTTACAAATCAAAGCCTAATTACATGTGTGAAGCGTGCAAATACAACCATACAAGTTAGATATGTATTTGCATAAAATGTTTCACCAAATACAACCATACAAGTTAGATATCTCAACCACTTTGAGATAGATGGGTAGAACTTGTTCCTCAGTAACCTGCAAGAACAATACAGAATTTATATAAATCTCATCAGTTCTGTCAAAACTTCAACCCCAATCAGAAATTTATTTTTTTTATTTATAATTATAGTAGCAGTGCCCTACTTTACAAAAGCAAGCTACATCATGCAGGCTTAAGCTTTGACATGATATACCTGTAAGTTTTCAGGTAACCCAACCCTTTATAGAGCTCAGTGAAAGCTCCTCTGATCATTTTCTCGGCATGATGTAGCTTCTTTTTATTGAACTGCTCCAGCAGTTCAGTCTCATACATGTCCCCATTACTATCCAAAGAAGCCAGCTTCTTATGAACCTAATGAACATCACATACAAAACATCAGTATACAAATATAATTACATATATAGAGATGAGAGAGAGAGAGAGAGTACTTGGATTGGTCCATGCTCTCTGTGATGATGGCCATAAAAAGAGGGTCCAAGCTGACCCTCAAACTGCTTAGAGAACTTAACCATCTTTACTCTCTTATGCTTGAGAGAGAGAGAGAGAGGTGCAGAGCTTTGGCTAGGGAATCAGCCAAACCATTTGTTGGTTTATTAACCAATCCAAAGTAATAACCAAGACATAGTAATAAGAGTAAAAAAGACAAATGAAAATTCCATAACCATAATCCATAAAAAACCACAAATACAAGTCCATAACCATAATCCATAAAAACCACAAATACAAGTCCATAACCATAAAAAAAAAAAAAAAAAAAAAAAAAAAAAAAAAAAAAAAAAAAAAAAAAAAAAAAAACAAGTTTCACAACCACAACCACAGTCATAAACACAAGTTCCATAACTACTCAACCACTTAATTATCAATGTTGACAAGAGGATGCGCCTTGATCAAGGATGTCATTTCTGCAATAAAAAGACAAATGCAAATTAGAATTATTATAACAAAATAAAATAAACAATAAAAACAAAATTGAAAAACACAAACTTTACCTGATTCCATATTTTCAAGCTCATCTAAGCTCTCCTCTACATAAAGATAACCGTGTGACGTTCGCAACCAATCTTGTCCACAAATGATAGCTTCTACCATTCTTGGAGTTAGAGAACTACGAAATGAATCAAGCACACAACCTCCGGTGCTAAAAGCCAACTCAAATGCAACTGTAGACATAGGCATAGCTAATAAATCCCGAGCCATCAAAGAAAGCACCCAATATTTAGAGGAATTAGTTTTCCACCAATCCAATATGTCAAATGATTTACTTTTCAGATCTTCACATTCCTCCCCTAAATATATATCCAATTCTGTTTTGTTCTCTACAGTTCCTTGGCCCGATTTTTGCTTGTTAAATAATGAATTTATGAAATCAGCAACATCCTCCACATTCTCAACTTCCATATCATTTGGATCCTGAGATTGATTACTTGAGTGAATATTAGGAGATGACTCGCTTGAACTATAAAACTCATACATAGAAGTCAAAACTTGTCTCACCTTCTCTTTTAGCACTTTAGCAGTATCAACACATACTCCAATTTACATCGGGGGTCAAGAACAACTGCAATGAATAACATGGTGTTGATATTATTGACATTTTCCCAATACTTGTCATACTTCCTCTTCATCTTGTAAGCCATTAAACTAATAGAGGAATCATCACTTTTACACCTCCGAGAAAGAACAATTATGTAGGTTTTCAAGACTGCTATTCAGTCTTGATCACTAAGAGATTTTAGGTTCGATGAGAAGAGAAAGTGAAGAAGATGTAGAAGAAAGAGWGATGGAAGAGCAATAGAACACAGATTTTGAGGAGAATAACAGAATGTCAATATTCTGCCGCCGCCACTTTAAGTTAATATATATAGGTTATGCTAGTTACATG